ACTGCCAATATTTTCATATTTTCGTGACACTTTCTTTCTATAGATGTTTTCAGTTTTCTGCCGACTTCCAAAAAGGAGACGGTACTCAATTCGACGCGTATGTTTTTTTATGTGTGTTACCTCAGAACTTTTTACTGAGTGAATCGATTTCGATGATTTTATATGAAAGCTGATACTTCTCGTGTGGTCCCATATGAATTTGATTAAGATCAGACCAATAGTTTTTGAGTTATTTGAGTTATTCGTAATAACTTATATTGAAGTTGGCTGTACAAAATTTTAAATTATTGATTGTTAAATTTAATTATGTAGTGTATTAGCATTCGGATAAACAATTATATCCAAAAAAATTAGGAAAGTAGAAGCATGGCCGTCATTTAAATTAAATTTTACTAAGTAACTCGTATAACTAGAACATGGTGAATTGCCATTAGGGATATTATATTTTTCGAAAACGGCACTTAAAATTAGTTAAATAAGTACTATAAAACCCGCTCGCACCAACCGCATGTATTGTCTAGCAGACTCAGCGAAGTGCGCTAGCACAAGGTCGGTCCGCCTCCTGCCCCGCAATGTCCCCACTGTTGCTCTGCATAAGTACATTTGTTTTCCAACTTTAAGGTCTTTAAACTGTGGTTAAGGCTATCATAAAATATAAACAATCTGAATAAAAATAAAATGTAGAGGATATTGTTTTATTCCCTAATTTGTTTTTTATTTAATTGAAAGACGTTGACTTGGAAGCCGTGGTAGGTTTTTGCATCTAACTAATGCTAGATATTAACCACATGGAAATATGGTGTTGTCCTTATTTAAAATATTACAATTGAATATGACGTTGCGCATATATCCCGGACGTCAGTCTGAGCAAGATTAGAATGGTTCTCCAGCACCTTAAAAACGGCAAGGCCCCAGGTGAGGATGGAATTACAGCGGAGCTTCTGAAAGCGGGTGGAAAAGCGGTACTTGAAGTCCTTCAGAAGCTCTTTAATTCCGTCCTCCATGGTGGCGTTACACCGGAGGCGTGGAGCAGTAGTGCGGTGGTCTTGTTCTTCAAGAAAGGTGACAACGCTCTCTTGAAGAACTACAGACCGATTTCCCTTCTGAGCCGCGTCTACGTGCTGTTTTCGAGAGTCATTACGAATCGTCTCGCATGCATACTCTACGACTTCCAGCCTCCTGAACAAGCCGATTTCCGAAAATGCTTTAGCACCATAGACCACATACATACCCTTCGGCAAATTGTACAGAAGTCCGATGAGTACAATTTGCCACTATGTCTGGCGTATGTGGACTATGAGAAAGCCTTTAATTCCGTCGAAATTTGGGCGGAGCTGCACAGTCCCTTCAGCGGTGCCAAGTTGACTGTCGGTATATCGTAGTGCTGAAGTGTTTGTACAGTAGGGCTACGATGGCTATCCGAGTACAGATCTAGAGTACGAAACCTATCCAACTGCAGAGAGGTGTAAGACAGGGTGACGTCATATCCCCGAAACTCTTCACCGGCTGCATTGGAAGATGTTTTCAAGCTTCTGGACTGGAAAGGATACGGTATTAACATCAATGGCGACATCACTCACCTTCGATTTGCCGACGATATAGTCCTTATGGCAGAATCGCTGGAGGAGCTAAGCACTATGCTCAATGACCTCAATAGTGTCTCCCAATGGATAGGTCTTAAGATGAACATGGACAAAACAAAGATCATGATTAATGTCCATGTCACACCTATGCCGGTAGTTGTTGGGAGCACTAAGCTCGAAGTTGTTGACGAGTATGTTTACCTAGGACAAATAGTCCGACTAGGTAAGTCCAACTTCGACCGGGATTCAACTCGGTTGGGCAGCGTTCGGGAAATTACGGCACATCTTCTTGTCAGGTATACCTCAAAACTTAAAAACGAGACAGTACAACCAGTGCGTGTTGCCAGTGATGACTTATGGAACTGAGACGTGATCCTTCACTGCTGGCCGTATGAGGAAGCTCAAGGTCACTCAGCGAGCTATGGAGAGGGCTATGCTCAGAGTTTCTCTGCGTGATAAACTTAGAAATGAGGATATCCGCAGTAGAACCAGAGTGACCGACAAGGGATTAGTAAGCTGAAGTGGCACTGGGCCGGCCATATAGCTCGAAGAACCGACAACCGATGGGGAAAAAAGGTTCTCGAGCGGCGGCCTCGTACCGGCGGACGAAGTGTAGGGTGTCCCCCCACTAGATGGAGTGACGACCTGATAAGACATGCAGGAAGTCGATGGATGCAGGTGGCTCAGAACCGTGCTTTGTGGCACTCCTTGGGGGAGGCCTATGTTCAGCAGTGGTCTTGTGAAGGGCTGTAATGATGATGATGTATTGAATATGACGTCGCGCACCTTTGATAGATTTATTTGCGTTGCAATACAACAAAATCGCACGGATGAGTTCTTTTATTTGTCTCTGCTTTACACCATAATTATTTGCAAACATAATACGGTATACTAATGGAATGCTTGTGCATAAATTGGTGTGGCGATCGATATGCTAGAAAATAACGGTGTAGTTGAACTCGAATGCTGCATTCGTGCATATTTATTACTTGAGACGAGAACTGGATATATTTTACGAATTCGAAAACAAAATTATTTGTCAACAAAAGTAAGAAAGGAGGAAGGCAAGAAAAAGATGGATGATTTTTTCTTTAGAAGCCAAACAGTTACGTGGGCGGCACTGAAAATTTCGGGAATCAAGGAAGTGACACAACATTACTATTTAAAAATGTATTTATTGCTTTTCGAAGTATTCTCCGCGAAATTTGACACATTTTTCAGTATACAACATTTGAGGATACTGCGTCGAATCTTTCGAGAGTTCTGACGCACCAAGTAACGCGAGCCGCTGTTTGCACTTCACAGAGCGAATGCGGTATCCATCGGGAAAACAACTTTTTTACACCTAATTATTCATGCAAGATTATTTGTATTTGACTCATGCCAATATCTAAAGTTGCCTGAATTTCGCGGTATATCACATGTCGATCTTCCTCAATCAGCTTACGTACAGCATCAACGTTTTCTTGGGTGACTGCAATTTTTGGACGACCTTGACGGGAATCATTACTGAGCTTGACACGTCCACGTTGAAATTCAGCAAACCAGCGATAAATTGTGGTTTTGGATGGGGCTTCATCACCAAATGCAGAAATCATCCGGTCAACACACTGTTTTTGTGTTAAACCACTTCGAAAGTCATAATAAATCATCGCTCTTGAATTTTCTTGAGTCAATTCCATTTTCTCAACCACTAAACAAGTTTGATAAAACCTTGTGGTAAGACCGAGGAGCTTTTTTTAAATAAATAAATGGTATTCGATTTTTAAAACCAAGGACTTTTCAATTAAAAAGATTTTAATATGACAGGAACAGTGGAAATATTCTATTCCCGATACTTTTAGTGCAGCCCTCGTATGCTTTTATGAAATCAAGCGTCTTAAACACGGTCCATCTTACTGTACGTACGTCCTGCCAAGCTGTCGTGCGTGCAATCCATCAAGCGCGACCAGTGTTGTCATATTTTTATTGCTTTGAAAACTTACATCTAATTTACAAAAATAATATGATTATAACAAAAATTAAGGTCATTTACAAGTATAAAGAACACCTAATATAACAAAAGTATGCCAGAAGAGATATACGAGTATAGGGCCAATAATAATACATTTAAATATAAAGATCATTATCTACATTATCTAGACGAATCAGCCGATAACCTTAAAAGAAAACCCAGCGCTTTGTTAGCCTTTGTAACAATATCATTAATGTGATTGTCAAACAGCAATTTTGAGTCAAAAGTAACAACACAGATCTCTGCTGGTTCTATTTAGAAGTATGGTGAAATTTTAAATTATAAATTATAGGATTAGGTTTACGAGTAAATGAGCGGATAAACCATTTAGAAACGTTCAGATCATGTTTATTTTTAGAACAGTTCGTTTCTAAATTATAGAGATCCTTTTGAAGGCTACGAGTAGAACAACTTTCTAAACCTGTAATAGGATATAAGATTTGTATATCGTCAGCGTAAAGAATAATCTTGGAACTTTTAAAACACGAGTCAATATCATTGATAAAAATTAAGAAGAGCAAGGGCCGCAAAAGGGATCCTTGTGGTACGCCAGATGCTATATGGATTGCAGACGAACGATATCCACCAAGGGCGACAGATTGACTTCGATTTCTGATATACTACGTAAAGCATCTGAGTTTACTTAAAATAATTAAATGATCGATTCTGTCTAATGCTTTGCAGTAGTGTGCAGATATTTTTGATTACGGATTTTTAAAAGGATTTGTTTAACTATTTTTAATATTATTGTACCGTGCGTTGCGAAGTAAATTTTCCTTCAAGAATTTTTTGTTATGGAAAAGCGGTTAGAAGGTACTTCGCATTTTAATAAAGACAAGCTACGTTCTATAAGTATTAGAAGATAGAAAATAGCGGTGTGGATACTTACTACAATTTTATCAAATGCATTCTATTATTTAAGCAGAACTTTTTCTAATTTGTTAGGAGAGCTAGGTCACAAAAATAAAGTGATATAAAAAATTCAAATTTATTGGGTGAGATTTTCAACAAGCTGTAACTGATCCGAGGAAAATGATCGTATAGCAAAAAAAGAAAAATGAAAATTATAGCTCCAAATATCTAGTTTTCTGTGAATTTTTTTAATCATGTTTGGATCTGGAGTGATCCTAAGGAAACTACCGAAAAAAAATCCAAATTTTTGCTCGACCTAAAAAAAGGTCTACAGATGTATAGATATTGAATAAATCATTCGCTATTCAGTTTCGATATGGATATAAAAAACCAAGTGATTCTATGAATCCCGAAAATGTCATGACTGCATTTTAAACTTTCCCATCACGTTACGTTACCCACGTTGAAGAACAATTTCAAATATGTTGTTCTCAAAAGTTTTAGTTTAGGGTAAATTTGAATAATATGAAATATGAAAATGTCCAATGTAGGCGAGCGGCCCTTCGTGTGCGGGCTGTGCAACAAGGGGTTCAACGTGAAGTCCAACCTGCTGCGGCACCTGCGCACGCTGCACGACCAGCTGCTGCCGCACGACGAGCCCGACGAGCCGGGGCCCTCCGACGTCAAGCGTGAAGCCTGAGGACGCGGAGGGGGGGCAGGTGGGTCCTTATAGCATGCGGGACGAGGGACCAGTGAGTCTGCTGTTGCACTGCGGGATGAGCCGGGGCCCTCCGACGTCAAGCGCGAGTCCTAAAGACGCGGAGGGGGGGGGGGGGGGGCGCAGGTGAGTCTATATAGCGTGCGGGACGAGTGGATCTGCTGTTGCACTGCGGGGCGAGTCGTGGCCCTCCTACGTCAAGCGCGAGGCCTGAGGACGCTGTGGGGGGGCCAAGTGGGTCCATTTAGCGTGCGGGACAATGGACGAGTGGATCTGTTGTTGCACTGCGGAACGAGCCAGGTTCTCCGACGTCAAGCGCGAGGACAGAAGACGCGGAAGGGTGGGGCAGGTGGGTCCATAGTGTACGGGTCGAGGGACAAGTGGATCTGCTGTTGCACTGCGGGTCGAGCCGGGGTACGACGCGGAGGGTGAGCAGGTGGGTCGATATAGCGTGCTGGACGAGGGACGAGTGGGTCTGCTGTTTTATCAGTTTGCGTTTTATGGTAAAATTAATACTACAACGACACTTGCATGACACATGCATCTAAATCGAACTGACCTGACGGACGTGTCTTTATTAGTGTTAGGGTTTTTATGATAATAATTTGTACATTTGAAATTAAATGAAAAATAACGTAAACGTGCAGGTAGAGGGCGCGGACGTCGCTCGACGTACATGTCGGCCATGGCGGACGGCAACCGACGTGCCAACGACAAGAAGAACAAAGGCGAGAGCACAGCATCGGCTAATGTTCTGCGCAAACAGAGCTACTCGCTCTTTTTGAAGCAGCGCGCCGTGCTCTTCTCCGCAAAGAAGTGGAAATAGTGATGCGAGGATACCACCCGCTACCGACCAAACAGGCGACGGTCTCCTATTGTTTTGACTTTTGATCTCTGGTTGTAGAAAATTTATCAGAATCGTTTTTTTTAATATTTTAAAAATAACTTACAGAAAATGCCGTGAACTCTTTTATTTTATTATTAACACTTATAAAATATACTGTATATGTGAATATCTAACATATTCTCTTATTTGAAAAATAAAGTAGTAAATTAATGTTCGGTATTGACCCATTTTTTTTCAACCTGAGATCAGTTTTCATATTGTGGCGGGTTCACGCAAAATCTTTCACTTCTTACACCTGCCCACCCTCCTTAAGTATAACTATTTTCTTTATTGTTACTTCAGTTTCCAATGTGAATTATTTTTTATATAATCCCCTATTTAATGTATATCTTTAAGATAATTTGAAACTTAACTAAGCTAGTACTTACTGTAAGATAATTTTAATAATAGGAATTTAAGTTAATTTACTTCAGTGCTAATTCCATGACATTGGTTCGTCCACATTGAGGAAAACGGTAAAAATTAAAAGTGGCGTAAGATTTTGCATATTTTGATGAAAACCTTATGAAATCAGCGTAAAATTAATGTTAAAATTAAATTTATTACAAGTTCAAACATCAACTCAATGGATCTTACAATTTATCGAATTTTCCAGGCCTATTTTCGGTGAAGCATGTTGTGTCATAAGTGCAACTGTTACTTATAAAATGAAGCAATCAGCACAAGTTATATTAAAAGAATTTATTGTCAATCTTTATAATAACAACTTTTCCTTTGACACTGTCATACATGAAAACATTTGTTTCGATTAACTAGATAAAAAGAAATGCCCTTCTTGAGAAAGTACTTGTGATTATAATAATTATTGGTATAAATTAATGTTTGATGTGTTTCTTTTGTAATTTATTTTGATAGCGTTACAGCATAAAGCCATGAGCGTGATCAAATGCTTACACATCAGATGCAAATGCACACATAATTTTTGTGTTCGTAGGCCGTGGTACTACTGTAGTTTCGCTTTTCGAATGGTAGTTTCATTACTCCCTTTTATTTTATAAATGCAAAAAAATGTACGAACAATTTTCAATGTTCACATATTAATATAGGTATTTATTAATTCATTTAAAATATAGATATAATTGTCTACGGAATAAATGAATGGTCCAAGAGATCATAATTCAAAATGACCTATGTTTGACGTCGACGTACCACTTCGCAGAAAAGTATATTAATTGCTTAGATGTAAGTTTTGGAAACAATACCAATTGTTTTATTAGTCAGCACTCAGAGCTTTAAGTTCGTCATTCCATTTGTGTTAGAGGATATTTACGTTTAGAATACACGTAACTTATTTAATTTTATATTTATGTCAATACTCATGTATAACATGGAATTGTACTATTTGATATGATAGTATGTGGAAATAAATATTTGCAAACCGAATAAGGCATTTTACTTATTATGGTATATACGTGGTAGAGCCATGCTGCAGCTATATTATGGTTGTAGCACGAATGGGTCGGCTCGACCGGGGAAGGACCACGCTCTCACAGAATACTAGCGTAAAATAGCAGCTTAACGCTGCTGTTTCGTATGGTGAGTGTAGAGAACGGGAGACCCTTTTTACTGGAAACGAGGCATTCCATCTTAGTCCTCACGGGTGACAACGCATCTGCATTTTGATACTTAATCGAAGATAGATGTAGATGTCTATGGGCCACAGCAACCACTTACCATCAGATGGTTGTGTGCTCGTTTGTTACCCTTATACTATAAAAAAATGGTCCCACGTACGCAAAATATGCAACGAATTGATGTCTGAACTCTTGAGTTTGTATGGAAAACTACGCATTGAAACATCGTATGCAACGCAATTTGCTGCTGGTTTCTGTGATATTAGCCTTTTGGCTTTTACAGCTTGATCGGACTTGCAACGCAATCACACGCTTCCGACGCAACGTCGACGTGCGATCTTGCTATATCCTGATCGACGTGGGAAGGTGGAACCTGCTATTATTTAACCGGTTCAGTGCGGGTGGCACGCCAGGCGTGACATCGATTACTTTTGTGTGGCGTATGACACGCGAGTCGTGTCTTTTTAAAAATCGTTATAACTCGCTCAAATTGCGTTTTTGGAAAATGTATCCAAAACAATTTTTTTTTTATATTTTGCAAGTAGTTCATGCCTACGGCTTCGTTTCTGGATATTTTGAAAATTTGAAATTTTTAGGGGTTGACAACCTTTTTTCAACTTGTACATGGTACTCTTTTTACTTTGTGGGTTTTTAATCATGTTGTGGCAACAAAGTCTAATAAGTAACAAATAATAGCACTCATTGCGATCGCTCACAAACTCAAGTTGTAAATAAATTACTGCAAAACAAGCCTCCTGTTAAAAAAAAAACAATGCGTTTGTCTTATTGCTTAATTTTGCTTAAAATGGTTGAGCTGCAGTCTTATTACTATGATATGGCCGAATAGACCTACGAAGTACCATGTGCTCTTGTGATATGGTAAAAGGTTTATTTTTGTTTGAACTGTTCGAAACCGTTTATACATAAAAGTTCGCTAATAAATAGTCTTTTGTCAATCCGCCGCCGTTTTTTTCCTTTTGAAAACACTTGTTTTGCTATTATTACTAATTAGACGTTATCAGATCGACTTTACATTTGTATAACATTAAATAATATTTAACATTTGTAAATGAATGAATCATAAACCTTGTTTTTTTCCAAATTAAGGTTCTTGATTGTTTGATATTTACAAATGTTATTATTAGGTGAAAGTTTAATAAAAACCAAGGTTTTCCAGGGTGATTTAGCTGTACCTACTTATGTTTTTTTTTTATAAAACAAAATAGTACAAAAGGTTCGTAATCTCTGCATAAAAAAGTCACTCCCAATTTCAAAGAAAACACGTAGTTACCCACTAAAAACAAGTATCCTTCCATTTGTAACTGATATTTGATGTCAACTAAATTAGGTCTAAACAAGTGAAAAAAGCTTAAAAAAGAAAATTACTTTTACACATGGCTGATGGCACAATAGGCATGTCATCAACTTCTGTGGCGCTTGACACGCCAGGCGTATCATGAAATATTTGTTCGCCGCCACAGCTAAAAGTTGTCGAAAATCGGTGCCGCAACGAATCGGTTAAGCTTACGTTGTACGGTTGTCGAAGCGCAGAGTACACTACTCTGTATAGTGTTTCGTCGTCTTATTTAATGTTTACTCGGATTAGTTAAATTCTTGATTTTTTCCTGTTTTTTAATTTAATTCTGTTATTTTTGTTTGTTCTTAAATTTAATAAGTGTTGAGTACACTGTACTCTGTATAGTGTTTAGTCGTCTTATTTAATGTTTACTCGGATTAGTTATTTTTTTTTACTGTTGTTTAATTTAATTCTGTTATTTTTGTTTGTTCTTAAATTGAATAAGTGCACACCTATTTCTGGCAAATAAATGCATTTTCTTTCTTTAGTTCTTGTTGTTATGGCTAAAACGTTTGTAATATCTGATGTCAGCAGAGTCATCGCGATGTCAATGCGACGGCAATACATTTATGCGCGGGCTACATACATGAAGAGACGGGTCGTAGTACGTGATTCTTCGTGCTCGGCGATAGGACTTTAGCATATTTGCGAGTAAGCTAGATTTTTTATTATTCACAAACAACTCTTGACATGATAAGTATTTATTATTAATTTTTATCACAATTTAGTTTATTGTATTGTACACCCAGTGTATTATATTCAGATGTGATTGTGAGTAAAAAGGCACGTAGTTTTAACATAAAATGAATTAATATTAAAAGAAACTTAAAAATAACTAATCTAACTATCTTCCTCTTCAATTTTCGGTGCCAAATAGTAGCGGATGTGACCAATGTCTGGAATGCGATATTCCACTACTAATGGTACGTCAGCCGACATCGAAAGCTGGACCTGAAACAATGACGCACACGAAATAAACATATCATATTGATTTGGACGAACTTTGTAAAAGTAGCAAATGCAGCCTAATGATTTGTGTAAGGACTGTATAACTTGATGTTTTAGGTAGGTACAATACCGCCAATGGAGCGAAAGTAAGGTGTTGTTAAAGAAGCTAAGAAATCAATATATAAGTTACAGTCAAAATTCATAACCGGTCAAAACCACTGATGATGAATAAAAAAAACTGCAGATTCAACCCGCTTACCATGCGTGGTCACTATGGCAAATACTCCCTTAAGGCAATCTATGGGGGAGGCCTATTTTCAGCAGTGGAATTTAGTAGACTTTAACAATAATAGCCATTTGTAATTATGGTTTCCATACCTGGTTACTTAGTGAGGTTGCTTTTGTGAAGTAATTGAGATACTGGCAGGCAAATGTAAGGGTCACAGGTTCATCCATTTCAATAACAACTGCCTCCTCTTCCTTGTCAATTGATGCTGTTTGTGCCAATGCAATATTTGCTGTACCAATGTCACCTGACGCCGAGAATTTTACACCTGTGCGAATAAAAATTGGCAATCAATGTTTATAAATAGAAAGAAGGAGAAAAGTGACTAAGAAGAAATCTATGAAATCAAATGAGGAATAATAAAAAAAACATATCTTATATTTTACTTACCTTCTTTTGTACAAGAAATGACCATTGACTCTCCAAACTGAGACAGATCACGGCAGATTCTGGCAAATTCAGCACTTGGCATGCGGATTGTACAGCTGTATTCAGTCTCTGGAATGCCTGAGGAAGAAGAATACAAATTTATTATAAATAATGAATCAAATAGTATTTTAGTAATTGTGTGTTTTAATTGTTTGGTAAAGTTACCAGTTGAACTAAATTCATTACAGCCTAACAAAGTCTACTGTTGAACATATAGGCCTCCCCATAGATTGTCTCATAATTAGATGTTTGATATATTTGCCACACTTGACAGGCAGGTTGTCAACCATTTTTTTTTTCTAGTAGTTAGGAAGATGCTGCTGCCAATCTCTTTGTTTTTTCCCCTCTGTTTCCTCTAAAAACATCCACAATACAATATGGGACATGTAATAACCATAGAAATGTAATGGCCTTGTATATTAAAAAAATGCTACAGTAGCAGACCTTCTCCCGAAAGAAAAGAGGTCTGAATTCATCGAATTGCATTTTAACTCAAGGCAATTTGTTCTCCAGAAAGCCACGCTAGCGCTCAATCGAACAGTGGATTAAATTGGAATTATCAGGAAGTCATCAGCTGTTCGCTGTAGCATGGTGCTCAGTCTCAAGTGAGGAGAATCTATTAAAAATAATCGCTTGATAAAAATTCCGGATGTGCCTAACGACCTTGACAATGCTTAATCGTAACTCTATCTGATTTCTCTCTGGTTCAGGTATAAGCTTTCAAAAACGTAATCATAACAAAGAGAGTTCAAATTTCTTGCACAAATATTTATACAAACTAGGATTTGAATACTGACTCTGCAGACAGTATATTTAGCTAAAACAGCAACTCAAATCTACAAATGTCCGAATCGAAGCATGCACACAGACATGCACCGGGAAAAACAACCTTTGAACAAGCTTTGCAATATAGTTTGCAAATTGTAGACTTGAGACAAGTGGTTACATTTTACATTGAGCTGTATAATGTGACATATTAGAAACACTTTTTTTATACTTTTGTATAGAGTATTCTATTCATCTTATAAAAGACAAAGATTCTTCGATCGACAATTTGTAATAACCCTTTTTATTATACTATATTATTACTACAAGTAGCAGTTTAATCTTTTTTTAAATAGTTTACTTCATTTATTTATGAGAACATCCTGGAACCCAAATCATTGTTTTAGTAAACATGAGAATTTTTTAATATAACACTAAACACTCCCCAATGAAGGTTAGGTATAAAAAAATTTGTTGAGATATGAACTGCTCTAGCTATATATATAATTCAAATGTCATTACAAATCAAATCTCACAACAGCATTAATAATTACATTAAAATATACCTAAGTGTTCAAGATCCAAATTCATGAGCTTCATTTCATAATCTGACACTTTTTCTTGATTAGGGCTTTCAAACACAAAGGTGACTGTGTCTGCATTGTCCTGTGCCTTCATTGTCACTGTGTCCTTATCACCAGCACATTTGAGAATCTTAGACATACTGAAACATGACATTTAGGTGACTTTACCGAGTGGTAAAGCTTGTTTCTTCACTTAGCATTCATACACCAATATACTGTTATGTCATAGTTTAATTACAAACTATGAGGCACTTAATATCAGTCTGATATTCAGAGCAAAGCTTGAGTTGAAATTCAAACTTCAATGTTAAAATTTATGTTACAAAATATAGTCTAGTTAAATATACTAATTTTATGGATTTTATTTTTATTGCATTTAATTCGACTTTATTAATTCCCGACGTTTTGATATGCTGTAAAACATAAACAGTTTAATTAAGCAATATAAAAATTAAAATCTGTAAAATTTGTGTTATTCAATTAGGGTAAATATAAGACATCAAAATATCTATGCTGAAATTTTTAAATGAAGAGGTTTGATTTAAACTCAAGTTGTCTTGTTTGATCTTCAAAGAAGAAGTGATCTTCTTAAAAGATGTTTGGAGGTGTCTAAGGGCCTCCTATTACCAATTTAGATATTAAATCGAAAGTTCTCTAGAATCAGAAAAAAAAAGTACTTTGAATATATTATATTTTTGGAAACTTACACAGTTACACACACAAATACTTTTGCTTTAGTGGATGTTTTTAAGTTGTTGATGAAAGTTGCATGTAGTATGTTCTGTTCTAGCATAATATGGATGTGGTGAGTATACAGTATTCACAACATAAAATTTACTAATAAAGTAACACAATTGAACAAACATAAACTACCACATTGCTGTGATTGTTTTACTATTTTTTAAACAATAAAGCATTTCATGGGGGAGGCTTATGTTCAGCAGCAGACTTTTGAAGCTCTGTAATGATGATGATGATACAATTAAATCAGTTAAGTAACAAAAAAATTTTAATTTTAAACTACTTTAGAACTTTTACCTACAAAAAGCTATCACAAGGTATTTGGATGTTACATTGTTTTACAAAAAATACAAATTATTTTTCATAATGATATGTAAATGTTACATCCAAATACCTTGTGATTAGCTTTTTATAGGTAAATGGACTTCCTGAATAGTTCCATTTTAATTATTCAGGATAAAATCAGACAACATGTGTTATAACTCAGAAATATGTAAATGTTATGTTCGTTAACCACTATATGGCTGACCTTACCTGCTTAAATTCATTCCCAGGGAAATATTTCTATCACATCTATATTTATCAAAGCCATCTGCCCGCAAAGTAAGTGACACCAACGACACATGTGAATTGTCCATTGCCTGAAAATTATTAAAATATAAATATTACAGTAACGTAATATAACATAGTGATATAACTTATGATATATTACCTGCAACCTAACCCCATCATTTTTATTAAACTCATATAGCACACTGATGAAATAGATTAATTAAAAATTAATATTAAAAAAAGCTAATAAGTATAAAAAGATAAGTCGCTAGTAAAACCTACACACCACACCTTAACCTTAGAGTAACCTAGTTTAGTAAGTTCTAAAGATGTGAATTTTGGTTATTTAATACTCATATTCAATTACAATATAAAAACATAGAAAAACTATATAATCTTAAAAATTCATACAAACACATAGCATTACAAAGATTATTATATAGATACATTGAGAGTATGTTGTTAGAATTTATATGTATTATTTGTGTCAATATATAATAATTACATCATTTATACTACAAAAAGTACCTGTAACTGTATTCCATTGTCATCACAATCAAATGTGGCTTGTGTCAGAAGATCCTTAATTGCCTCCAAAACTTTCTTTAAAATAGAGCTACGGAGTAAGCGCGCTTCAAACATTTTTATCTGAAATCAAGGGAATAAATAATTGAATTGCATTTATATTAAAAAACTAAAATAACAAACTAACCTACAGTCCACCTGATGGTAAGTGGTTACTTCAGTCCATTCCATTGGCAACTGTAGCGAACATCAAACAAAAAAGGCTACAGATGAGTTGTCACCTCTGAGGGTTATGATGGAATGCCTCAGCCTGTAATTATATCGACCGGTACACAGTAATGTAAGCACTGCAATTTTGCAGCAGAAATAGGCAAGAGGCTAACACCTAACCAAACGGACTCCTGGGTAAAAGATTTCTTTAGGTTCTTAAAAAGGCATTACACTTTTAATACACTTGAGGTCAACAGCAACAGCTTCACAAAGACGCGACAATTGCAATTACGCTTATGACTTACAAGAACAAAGCTTTTTTAGTAAATGTAATTAAAATAATTAATAGCGCCGTTAATATACTTACAGTGTAATGAAAACTAAAAAAAAGTTAAAGAATTGTAAATTAAAACGATAATAATAGTGCCAATCGCTTTAAAAATGTTTTTAAGATGGAAAGTGCAAATTGCAAACCGGCGACAAGCAACGGTAACGTACAAGAAAAGGCGCGAAAATTGTCTGATGGTGACGTAAAACTGTCAATGTCAAATCTTTCTTTCTTTGGCAATACATTCGACGGTTGTACTTTCGCCAGTGTCAAGTAATGAGGGCTAATAATCTTCTGTTCACCAGATGAAGTTAGTTGAGACTGAGTTGAAGTTTTGTTACATCTATACAAATAAATAAAATTGAAGTGTCTGTTTGTAATGTCGAAATAACAGCTTTTTACTATATGCATATAAAAGTATATTTTTTTTTATATTCTACTAAGCCAGCGCTTATCTACGATCCCCCCGATGGTACGTGGTGATGTAGCCTAAGATGATGAAGCGCACTGACTTAACAAAAGCCTATTCACTCTTGCCTTGAAGACAACCACACTGTAATCGGATGGAAAGACAGATGCTGGCAACTTATTCCACTCCTTTGCTGTACGCATGATGAACGACGTGGCGAACCGTTTGGTTCGAATGCGTGGTAAGTCAACAACGAAAGGGTGGAGACTGGCCGAACGTCTGGTTGTCCGATGGTGAAAGGGAGAAGGAGGAATTAAATTATGCAATTCCTGCGCACACTCTCCGAAATGCATCCAGTAGAAAACCGAAAGGCTGGCTGCTTTACATCTGTGTTCGAGGCTGGTAAGATTGGTTTTAACCAAATTCGGGTTACCAATAAGCCTCTTAGCACGACTTTCCATTGAGTCCAAAGCTGCTAGGTGGTATTTTACAGCACCAGCCCATATATGGCAGCAATACTACATGCACGACCGGACTTGCGCTTTATATAAAGTAAGCAGCTGTCCCGGCGTGAAGTATCGCCGCACCTTTGCAAGGGCTCCCAGCTTCCTTGCAGCTGCTTTAGCCTTGGATTCAATGAACTACCGAAGTTCAAATTTGAGGATATTTCAAACCCTAACAACTGAAGGCGGTCGGTATATTTCAGTGATACATTTCAGAAAGAAGGAGCCAAGGTGAGCTGGCTCCTTTTTGCAGTGAAGAGACAGGCTTGTATTTTGGAGGCGTTGAACTTCACAAGATTGGGATCGCCCCATTCGGAAACTACCTGTAGTGTGAGATTAACACCCTCTACCATAGCTTCTCTTTCGGACTGGATTTGATCCCGACTGGCCCGAGGACTTGGTTGGTATCTCTCAACAACTGTGCTATCGTCTGGATACCCATAGATACCGGGCAAAAGCAGATCATTAATATGCAGCAGGGAGAGCGTTGCGGAGAGAACAGACCCCTGAGGAACACCGGCGTTTGTCGCCATCGGATCGGATGGGTAGCCATCAACGACAACCCGGAGACGTTCACTTAGAAAGTTCTTTACCCATTCAATCAGACCAGGGGATAAGCCGTACGCTGGAAGGTTACCCAAAAGGCTAGTATGTCAAACTCTGTCTAAGGCCTTCGAGATATCAAGAGAAACAGTACGATACGGGATACGTGTGTGGCATACGCTAGAAGGTCCCCAGCTGACCGATTTCGGCGAAAACTATATTGCCGGTCACTAAGGACGTCATTCTGTTCTAGGTATGCCATTAAGCGGGCATTCAATATACGCTATTGGCAGGGTCGGCACGGCTGCCTTTTTTTGGAACAGGCTGCATGTTGGCCAGCTTCCAGGATTTTGGCACTATTCCAGTCCTAAATGAGAGGCGGAACAAGCGTGTCAACACAGGAGACAACTCAGGTGGGCAAGCCTTTAGAACTATAGCTGGTATACCATCTGGTCCACTAGCTTTCTTCACGTTTAGACACCGCAAGGTTTTTAGAACCTCATTATTTGTTACGTATAACAAATAAGGAGGTTCTTAAAACCTTTGTATTCGTATTCGTATAAAGATTCGTAAATTCGACAAAGAGGTGCCGCAGTGAGGTAATTTTGGTGGAACGTTGTTGCCACTGTCCAGACGTGAATTGTAGACAAAGAGAGACGCGAACAAGTCCACTTTCTCCTTAGCCGTATGCGCCAGTGTGCCATCCGGTTTTACCAACGGAGACAGTGTAGGCCGGCAGAAGTTTGTCTCCACCGCTTTGCCGAGAAACCAAAAAGCTATAGTGCCTGATGGTCTGGCAGAGAGTTTTGCCCCAATATGCTTAAAGCTTTCCGTAATGCTTTTTTGTAGGACTTGGCGGTCTGGTTGAAAGTTCTCTTCTTGGAGCTAATATCCGGTGCTTTGCGGTTTCGAGGGTCAACCCAGGATAGGTAAGCAAAATGCTTGCGCTTTTCAGCTTGGGCGCATTCAGCGTTAAACCATGGGCGAGCTTTGCTACCGGTGGGAGCGTCAGAGAAGGGGATAAAATACTCCATAGCTTGACGCAACATATCCGTTATCGCAACCACGCAGCTCGACGGATCCGCAGAAGAGAAACATACCTCCCGCTAAGGATAAGATGCAAAAAAGTGTCGCATCTCATCTCAATCAGCTGACTTATACCGCCATATTCGTCGAACACCTTGGGACTCGTAATCAGGTGGAGAATATGACGATACAGATTTCAACAGACAGTGGTCAGATGTACGTTAGATGTGCATACATTACTTACAACAAAAACTGTCTGTCTTCCTGTCTGCCTGTTTGTTCCTGCTAACGGCTGGACCGATTTTGACCGGATTTCCACTGACAGATAGCTGATTTTGATAACATATAAAATTTTTGTAATTTCACTGCCATGTAATCTGTTAAATATTTCACCTCATTTCTAAGTGGCACCGCCCTGGTGGCTGAAAAAGTCGCTAATAATCTATACAAATAAATAAAATTGAAGTGTCTGTTTGTAATGTCAAAATTACAGTTTTTTAGTAGATGCATATGAAATTATATACACTACTAATCTCCGAAACGGCTGGACCGATTTTGACGAGACTCGCTGACAAATAGCTGATATTATAAGAAGTAACTTAGGCTACTTTTATTTTATAAAAATAATTAGGTTTCCGCGCAAAAAATTAAAACCCCAAATAACACGTGGGCGAAGTCGCGAGGAACAGCTAGTATCCTATAAAATATTTTTTTAGAAAATACTCCCAGCCTTTAAGAGCTCCTTTGTAACTCCGTTTTAGCTAGCACGTTCTCCCCAAGGCAGATGCTGGAAGCTCGTTGGTATAGTGGCGGGTCAGCGTCGCTTTGGGATTATTGCGTTTAGGGTCAGGTTGTGCCTTATGTGAGGCATATAGTTTACGTAATAGTCTTCGATCTCAGAGAGAACCTCAGGCTTTGAAGTGAGGACTTTGCCATCATGCGTTTGTAGTTTTGCGATGTGACTCCTCCCAAGCTTCCGAGCATTTTGGGTCACTTGTTTCGCTCAATTGCCACTTGTATCGCAATTGCATTAGAGCGATGCAGGTCCTGCCTCACAGCTTTCCACACAAGCCTGGTTAGTGTATCCTGTTCCGATGGCGTTGTTGTTATTGCCCTACACCTTCTTTTCGTAAGCTAAAGTATCTCATCTTAGAAGTTTGACTTCCAGCCCATATGTTACTTGCTAGAAAACCTGTTGCCCTCATTCCTTGAGATCGTGACCACGTTGATAAGGTCCAAGGCAATGGACGTGGGTTTTAGGGCATCGAATCGATTTTTAAGTTTCAACTGGAAGCGTTGGGAGCTAGTTCTGATTTGAAGCAGATTTGTTCAAAGCGTGGACTTCATCAATCGAGATCTCTCAAGCGTAAAATCGATATTCTTAGCGCCCCGGACAAGTCGTTGATCGCTTCCGGTTTTAAATTTCTGAATCACAATTCTGAAATCTGAAAAACAATATATCTCTGAATACGCGTGTTTTGTCCGTCATGATGAAGTCAATCTCGTTTTTTTATTATGTTATCGGGACAGCGCCAGGTCCTCTTCCTTTAGAGCTTCTGATAAAACGAATTCATCAGAAATAGCCCCTCTTTCTCGAGGAAGTTGACCAGCATTTTCCCCTGTGATTTCTGCTAACAAAACCGTGGGGTCCCAAAATCGATTCGACGCTCGTGTGTTTACCATCCATGGCATAAAAATTCCCTATAATAACTTTATAGTGGGGATTCTACTGTCAGAGTGATTGGTAGTCACACGTGTTTCAGCGATTTTCGGATATATTTTTGTGTTGAGCTTCGTTATTATCTTTGCCGTCTTCTGTGTTTGTTATTATATAAATTTGTGTTGTGTTGTTCATTACGTATTTGTTGGTAAGTAGCGATAGTTAATCAATTTATGTATTCTTAACTAACACTGCTCTTCCAAAAAATTTATAAAATTCAATCGCCTCCACATCCTCCAGTGGAACTGTCGGAGCATCAAGAACAAGAAATCTGAACTAACTAATTTGATAAATACTCATAACCCCTCAGTCATTGCTATTGCGGAAACCTGGCTAAGACCTGGTTTCAGATTCAGAATCCCTGGCTTTTCGTGTATCCGTGACGACCGCAGCGATGGCTACGGTGGCACTATGATTCTTCTAAATAGAAATCTTACCTCTTGCTCAATCCCCCTTCCACCTCTGCAAGAGAATATTAATGCAACAGCTGTAAAAGTAATGGACATCACAATTGTGTCTATATATATTTCCAATCCCACTCCTGCCTGTATCCCAGAGCTCAACTTAATCCTGTCTAGCATATCTCCTCCTTTTATTGTAATTGGGGACTTCAATAGTCACAATGTACTGTGGGGTTCTCATAAAAATGATTCTTTCTCCTATCTTTTAATAGACGTCTTTAATGAATTTAACCTTTGCATTCTGAATAATGGGTCTCCCACCCGCATGGTCTACCCTTCCCAAAGTCCTAATTCTGTTGTAGATCTATCCCTCTGCTCTGCTAATTTAGCTGCAAGTATCAATTGGAACACTCTATCGTCCACCTTTGGTAGTGACCACTTTCCCATCCTTTTGTCTTTGTCCAGTAGAAGCCTTCCCACTAGGAACAAATCATGCATCTCGAAGTTTAACGTGTCCAAAGCTAACTGGGATGTATATCTTTCTGATATAGAAACTAAAGCTCATTCTCTCCCTTCAGTGTCTCACATTAA